AAGAGTGTAAGAAAGAAATAATCCTACTGCCTTACACAAAGCAACAGAAAGGCTTGTAAGACTGAAGGGAGATTTAAACATTGACTTAAAATTATTTGGAGAGAGGATGTTAGAGGTGTGGTGAGCAGGACAATGCAAGTGGCGAAAGTTTCCTGTTTAGTGGATATTCGTATGTTTGTGAGTCTCAGGATCTACCCTTCAGTACAGACATGTCATCTATTTGCCAGTTCTCTTAAGAGGTGCCTTGAAAGGAGGGAGGTGAATGTGGGTTTTACTCCATTTTGAGTTTGAGGATTGCCTGCTTTAAATAGTCTCTTTAGTCTCTAAAGTATTAAGATTATTTGAAATTATACTCTAGAGTATTGCTGTCTACAGCTGAGTAGTTGATGGCTTTTTTTTTCCTTACAAGGTTAAACCATATATACTTTGATTTTCCTCTATTTCAGCCGTTTCTTGTACCCTGGGAAGGGTTGGGCTGCTGCAGATCTCTTTGGAGATGGTGGTAGTTCCGTGGAATCTAATTGCTCTGGCAGCAAAGATGGAAAATATGAATTGTTAACAGCAATCAATGATGCAATTGCAGAAGAGATTAAAGACCTCATGACAAAAAGTAAGGAAAAAAAAATTCTAGGCTTAATATGCAAAATTTCAAAGCACTTGGACTTTCAAGGAGTTGTAGGAATTTCCTTTATTATATGAATTTTAATATGGTTCAAGCAGATGAGTTTGTGTTGTGTGACACTTCAGGCTTCTGCATTAATACTATTTGCCAAAGATAAAACTTGCAGCATTTGTAACTTTTGCAACTTCCCTTGTATTGCAGCTGACATGAGGGGCCAGCAGACAGAAACTCTGTTACCAGGATCACTCGCTAAAGCACTTTGTTGTATCCTTTCAGTCACAGAATCTTCAAGGCCTTTATGCTTTTTTAAGACTGTTTCTTGTAATATTAGTTAGGTTTTACTGTTCCTGTCCTGTAATAATACTCAAAACTGAAGTGCTTGCCTAATAACTGTGGATTATGCTTATTAAAATGTGTGTTGGTTAAGGTGGTGAACATGTGGCACGGATACTGGGGATATTCCAAGAATAGAATGTAGATTCCTTAATACCAACTGCTGTAGATATCAACAAGATGAGCAAAGACGTAAAAGGTAAAGCCTCTTCTCTTGTTTTGAATACTTGCATAAGTATCTGTTATTCTGATTCAAATATAAATGCCTATGTACCTACAAGTGTGCATATGTGTTGACACATCCCCATCTCCAAAACTGGCAAGAAGAGGTACGGGTTTATCCTGTCATTTGAAGTTGCCCAATTTAAACTAGGTCTGGGTGATAGTTAGAAGTAAAGATCTTGATCATTAGTTCACATCCTTACTCTGATTTTCTATGGCATGTAAGTAAAACAGTAACTGGAATCTCCTTGGAGCAACTGGAGGTTGAGAGGGATTTTTTTGGAAGTCACAAAACACACAAATCCCCTTCTACAGGGACCACCTCCTTCCCTGATCAACAGCTGAGTGCTTTTGGACAATAAGTAAAATGGGTCTACTTTCATGACAAGCCTGAATCAGTCCACAGATGCTTGTCATTGGGACTGTAAAACAGTTTATTATAGGTATTTTAACTGAGGTGTTAGATCCAATATCTTGGATGTTAGATATCTAACTGGGATGTTAGATGCTATAGAATTAAAAGGGCAAACTGCAGGCAATAGAAACAATGTGCTCATGCATTTCTTTTTGATATTTAGGCAATCAAGAAATGAAATCAAGGATTTTGGTAAGAACTTTTGCTGACAGTTTTATTTTAGTCTTGAAGTCAATCCAGTAATATTAATGTAGGCTAACAAGTTTGAATTGTTTTATTTAGGTCATAAAAGCAGCAGAAGACAGTGCATTGCAATATATGAATTTCATGAATGTGATCTTTGCAGCACAGAAACAGGTGAAGCTGGCTTCTTATATGTATAATCTTTTATTAATATCTAAAGATAAAATATGTTCATTTCTCTTATTGCATCTCTTGCAGAGTGTTTTGATTGATGCTTGTGTGTTGGACTCTGATTCAGGTCTTCTACAGCAGGTACAGGCTCTACTCCCTATTCTTACTTGCTGTTTGTCTTAATTCATAGATGTTTGATGCTGGATAGTTTGAGAGGCTGAGAAAGTTGGGGCTGTTCAGCCTGGAGAAGAGAAGCTGCGTGGAGACCTCAGAGCAGCTTCCAGTATCTGAAGGGGGCCTATAAGGATGCTGGGGAGGGACTCTTCATTAGGGACTGTAGTGGTAGGACAAGGGGTGATGGGTTCAAACTTAAACAGGGGAAGTTTAGGTTAGATATAAGGAAGAAGTTCTTCACAGTGAGGGTGGTGAGGCACTGGAATGGGTTGCCCAAGGAAGTTGTGAATGGTCCATCCCTGGCAGTGTTCAAGACCAGGTTGGACAGAGCCTTGGGTGACATGGTTGAGTGTGAGGTGTCCCTGCTCATGGCAGGGGGGTTGGAACTGTATGATCTTAAGGTCCTTTCCAACTCAAACCATTCTATGATTCTATGTTCTTAAGTTCTCTTTTCATTTGTTTCAAGAGTGGGTGTGGAAATATGTTCAGTGGATCTGACAGCTCCAGCATGCAGGCCTTGTGCAGTATGTGGGTATTCGGAATATCCTGTTGAGTTTATAAACTAAACCTGATCATTTTCTGCTTTCCAGGCTTGTGACATTACGGGTGGCATATATCTGAAAGTGCTCCACATGCCATCCCTTCTGCAGTATTTGTTGGTAAGTCACTTAAGAAACACCTCAGTGGTTTTTTTTCCTGTGTCATGTGAAGTCTGACTTCAGTGACAAGAAATACAGCAGGACCATTCTGATTTGCAAAATGTTTTTTCTCTATTCATAGTGGGTGTTTCTCCCTGATCAAGAGCAAAGATCACAGCTTGTCCTTCCACCTCCAGTTCATGTTGACTACAGAGCTGCATGCTTCTGTCACCGAAATCTCATCGAAATCGGTTACGTGTGCTCCGTGTGCTTATCAAGTAAGTTTGTAAATATTTAAGAGTCTGATTTCTTGCATTCAAGGGAACAGTTTTAGCGAAAACCAATTCTTTTCTTTTCCAGTATTCTGCAACTTCAGTCCTATTTGTAGTACGTGCGAGTAAGTGTCCCTTCTTCTTGTTTCAAGGGTGGGTGTGGACATATGTTCGGTGTATCTGACAGTTCCTTTTCTAATGCTTTTTCAGGACTGCTTTCAAAATCTCACTGCCACCTGTCATGAAAGCTAAGAAGAAGAAATTAAAGTTAGCTGCGTAACGACATTATGTAAATACATCCTTCCCTCATCCAGTAATTCCATGAAAAGGAACAAACTTGAGAAATTGATGGCACTTTTTATTGGATGTGCGGGAGAAGTGTATACAGTGTTACTGCTTGTTTCTTGAGGGATAAACATTTAAATCATACGTGTTCTACACAGCCCTCTAAGTAACCAAATCACTGTATTGCATGTGACCTGTGCTGTTTTAAATGTGAGAGGAACCAGGAGTTGCAGCCTGTTGAGAGACATACCCTGGGAAGGAGAATTTATTGTGGCCGCTGCCGAATTTCACTCCTCCAAGTTATTTCAAAGATGAGAAAACTGATTCTTTTTGTGTGTTGGTGTGAAGGTAAGAATGACCATTCCTAGTGAGCAGGATCAGAACCTTAGCACTGTGTTATTCACCTTCTTGCTAGGTTTTGCTAGCAATTTTTGGACTGCCCTACACGTGCACTCACATGTATTCATATTCCTTTGACTGTACTGTCTTTGTGGTATTAACTTCCTAATTGGATATCTTTTCATTTGTTGATAAAAAGGCCTCCATTTGTTTAAAGTAACTTCAGGCTATCTGCTTCGTCTTGAAAGCTGTATTTTGGAACTGGAAGATGTAATTCTGTGCAGTATGACAGGTTTTAGTATGTGGTTTTACAGCTGGCATTTGACAAGTAAGAAGGAAGGCTTTTGTTTCGGTGGTTTAATGGCAGAACGAGGGTATGCGGTGTACTTCTGACCGTGACTTTCATTTACACAACCAAATCCTCTCCCCCTTTGAAAAAGCACCTGTATGGTTTGGTGGTTTTAACCGTTGTTGTAACTGATGTTCTCCCGGAAGGAAAACGGACGGTAACTGTTTCCTACATGAAAAAGACAAATACTTGTTTCCCCAAGGTGTATACAGGAATTTATCATGTCTTGATACTTGCATCAGGGTTTATCAGTGTAACAACGGCAGCACCAGTCGTTCACTGCCTCTTTTACTGGCTGTCTTGCTTGACGGCTGTATTTATAATCTACTTTGTATAAGAAGTTTGTAATAAAACCTTTTCCTTTTCCAATGTGGGAATATATAGACGCTGCTGTAACACCAGATCATTTTCAGGGTGAGCCGCACCACTCGCCTGTTATCGTGTAGCCTGACAGTAAGATCTGGCACTGGCTGAAGCGCCTGGGGGAGGATGTGTCCGTGTGGAGCCGGGTGAGCAGATGAGGGCAGACGTGCCGGGGCC